TATTATTTTTTTGTTTATTGATGCACTTTTCTAAAAGCAAACATTAGCTATGTGGAGCTGCCATTGCCCTTGTGAACCATACAATTCTCTTTTCAATAACTCCTCCAACCTTCTTTGTTATCTTGGATTTCTCAAAACCAACTTCCTTTGAACTACAGATATATGGTTCTGCATATCACTATAACCACGCTTAGCTCTTCACAATCAGGCAGGATCCCTCTGACTTTCTAGGATTGCCAATTACAGAAGAAAACTCAGCTCTGCAAAGCTCTTTACTAAAATAGCTGAGTTTTACATCAGTACATGGATCTTGGAAGAACTTGCCTTATAGAAACTCTTATAACTGAATTCAAAGGAGACAGGATTATGTTAGTCAATAGCATCACTACCAGAGCACTAGCACAGATATATTACTAAATAATAATTCAAAAGTTTTCATTAAAAGCATTGTTACACAGCCATTCCTACAATGGACACCACAGAGGGTAGATGCAAGAATCTGAAAACTGGTCCCAGCTGCATGCCATCTAGAGTCTTTTATAGCAGCAGGTAGAGTGGTCCTGATGGGGGTAAATGAGCTCAGCTGGAGAGGGAGAAGCATCTTAGCAGCAGTCCCTGAAAAAGAGGGAAGAGGCTGAGAGAGAAAGGAGGAGCTTTTTGTATCCTGAGATATCCGTCAGCTATTTGGAGTGATTGGCTGCCCTCAGCTGTCCTGAAAGGCATAGTGTCCAGCACCTGGCTGGTATGTAATCTCTCCTTGGTGTTTGAAAGGATTTGGGAAACCCTTCCAAAAGCACAACTTGGGAGGGACCATGGGCATTTCTGGTTTTTGAGATCATGCCTTCCCTAAGTACCTGGGAGAAAGCTGCTTTCCACTGCACTGCCTTCAGGACTTGCTGTGCAGTTCCATTTGCCATGACACAGCCATAAGGAGGCCCTGGTGGGGACAGAGGGACTGGCTTGCTCCAACAGAGCTCTCAATGGCAAATGGTCACGGCTAGGGACTGGGGACTCGAAGAGCTTGGTTCGTTGCCTTCCTCTGGGGGAAATATTTGTAACCTAGAAGCATCACAGAAAAGCACTGCCTATACTCTCAAGGGCATCAGAGAGGTGCATGGGGGCCATGAGGGAGATACTCACAGGCAGAGATGAGAGGCTGAGCCGTGCACAGGCAAAGGGAAGGGGTTCCTTCACAGAAGTGCTCTTGGATTACTGTCATTAAATGCTGGCTAAGTAAAAATCATCATCTTCTCTAGGCTTTCCTCTGCCAGATGGAGCGATTCACACTCACCTGCAGAGGGAGACAGCTCCTCTTTATTAGCCAAATTTTGTTGACACAGTTTGATGCTGCCACCTTACCAGGCTGGAAAAACCAGATAGGGACTTGATGTGGCTGTTGGGCAGCCCACAGCCAGATTCTCCCATGGACATGCTGTCAGGGGTGTGCAGGGACCCTTTCAAAGCCAGCACTGGGGCTGGAGCAGCAGTAATTTATGAGCTGGTGGCAAAGTCCTTCAGGGGAGCAGCCTCTGGGGCAGTGCCTGGCCTGCTGTGTGCTCCAGCAATGCTGCAGCTCCTGGCACTGGGCTAAGGACAGGGGTCACAACAGGAGCTGTGCCAGCCTGTGGCTTCACCCCTTCCCTATTCCCTACAAGGTGCTGCCGCCGACCCAGGGTTTGGGTAGAGCTGCAAAGCCATCACCTGGAAAACACATTCATTTGCAAACCCAGGGTGTTTTCAAGCCAGGACATCTCCCAATCACAGGGCTGCCATGCCTCTCACAGAGAAGCTCTGTGAAGAGTTGTGGGGCCGGGTGAACCTGAAAAGCTGGCTCAAGCGTGCCCCAAACTCCTCCCTGCTGCACTCGGGGCCCTTGCAGGGAGATCTGCACGCAGCAGCGGGGCCGGGGGTGCTGCTGCATCCTCTGGGTGTTGCTGGACCCTGCTCATGACCCCCTGCCCTGCCAGGAGCAGGACAGAAGGCAGCTTGGTCCTGCACACAGCTCAAGCTGGGGTTGCAGCTCTTGGGTGAGGCTTCTTCAGTCTTCTGAAAAGTATTGACTCACGTCCTATTTTGCTTGAGGGGAAAAAAAAAGGAAAAAAAAAGAGCTTGCTCCCTGCTTGCTGCCTCATAAGCCACAGTTTCAATTTTTTAATTTCCCAAGTTACACCACAGCCCTGCATGCCTGCCTCAGTACTTATGACAGGGAGGGCATTTAGTAACTGCAGGCATCGTGCCCAGAGATCAGGCACCAAGCTGAAGGCAGAGCTGCATGAAGGATAAAGCTCACCTACATCCCTTCCCCCACCATGGCTTTTTAATGTGTGTGACAGGCTACTTATTATTCCTAATTTAACTTAATAACTAGCTTAAGGCCTTGTTATACTTTCCTTCTGTATTCAATATTAAAAGAATAACAAGGAGCAAAGTAAAGAGAAAAAGCTATGTGTTTATTAGGAAAAGATTTACAGAGGACAGAAATAAAGCTGGAAAAGCTAGAGGAGCCTTAATCTTTAATGAGTATATTCAAATACTTTTACAAAATCACCTTATAACTTAAAGAATGGCTCCTGACAGTTTCTAGGCCAGTATAGAGCTTTTCTTAGGGAAGACTCTTTACTTCAGGGGTGCTTTTTAAATGTCCACTTCTTACTCACAGGGTCCTTGGCCAGGTTAGTGCTTTACTCCATTAGAGAGTTGTCACCAAAATGAGGAATCATTTTTAATAGACTATATATGTCTTGACTCCCTGGATAGACATGCCTCCTAACTCTGCAATACCTTTGGGAATGAAAGCAGCCATGGGAAGTTCAAGTTTAGAGCATATCTGATAGGAGACAACATGCTACTGCTGCATGTGGTGCTTGCTTGAACTTCTTCCTGAAATTGTGAATATCAAGGAGGAAGCAAAGGAAAATAGACTCAGATTTTTGTAAGCACACACAGGCTCTTGGGTCTCAAATACTTCTGTCTGCTCTTTTGCTTGCAAACAAAGCAGTGTGCAGGTCTCTGTCCTTATCAGGCCATGTTACCTCCATGGATGCACCAGTATGCAAATATGGTATGTTTGTCCTCTTCCTCTGTTTCCTTCAAATTCAAAACAATCCAACATTGTCACCAAGCCGCAGGCTTGTCAGCTCTCTTGCTATATTCAGCCTAATCTAAACATCTAAACTCTCATGTAGGTAGCAGTAATGATCTCCTTTTTCTACCTCAGAGATGATAAAATGCCCCACCTCCACCCCCTTGTCCAAATTCATCTGCTAGGAGCTGACAACAAGGTCACCATAGTGCAACTGGAAAAAGGCAGGAATGCTGAAAATTTGTGTCGGTATCTTTTATATCTAAAAAGAAACCCCAGATCCTATCAACCCCTTAATTTCAACTTGCAGACAGAAAGGTGTTCCTATCACTTATCTACAAAGCCCATTTTCCCCCAATTATCTATTAGCACCTTGCTCTGACCTCTCTCTTCCAGCCATTAGAGACTATGAGGCTCCACATCCTAAGCTCAGAGAGCATGAAGCCACAAAGCACTGCTACAGAGCAAGGTTGATGGGTCTTCAAAAGTCACCTTCACCTTAGTCCCTCTGCAAGCTGAGGGTTGGGGTGGGAAGACAGCACTGCCTGACCTCAGAAGAGCCCCCAAGTCAGAGCCAGGCACTATCCCAACCTAGAGCAAGCCAGGAGCCTAGCCAAACTGCAGTAGAAACACATCTTTCATCTGGGAAAAAACCCACATGGAAGAGCAAGAGAGAGTAGAGCCTAGAACTACCAGCAAGAGCAGCTGTGGCAGTGAGGTTACTCTCCAACTCTTGCCAGCACTCCAGTGGCCCCAGTGGGAGCATGGAACAGAGCCCTTGATCCTCGGTGTGGAACACTGGAAGCAGGACCAGTGAACAATGCTGTGGGCAGGCTGTGCAATTGCACCCCAGTTGGGTTTGCCTTAGAGCCCAGAGTGTGTAAAAACACATTAGGCATCACTCCAGACCATGGCCCAAGTGGGGCAACAGTAGTGTCTGTTCACATTGAAATGAGCAGAGCGTGCTGCTTCTGCAAATGTGGTGTATGGCCCATTGCCTATGACCAGCTCTCTGAGCTATTGACTGCTGATCCTGTGGTCCTGGCATTTGCATCTGTTCCAGATTTTTCTTTCATCACAGGTTTGGAGATGCTATGGACATGGCTGTGTGCCACATGAAGGCAGAGGAGGGAAGGCACTGAATGGAAGCCTGCAGAAAGGCCAAAAAATTGTTGATGGAGGTATGTGGAGACCACAGCAGCAGTAATGAGAAGGAAAAAGCACTTTCATCTTGCTTGAACAACTTTCTGTTACAAGAAGCACAGGTTCACATTAAACCAAGACCAGACAACTGCCACACAGGAGAAAGAATAAGTTTATTTTAAAAAATAATAATTTAGCTTGAACACAAACTGGATTAGAGTGTTGACTGAAGCAGGAAGAACAACATTTATCCACAGAACTTAAAACAGACCAATTTTTTTCTCTTGTAGATGATACTTTCAGTGCCCTTCCTTGTCCACCAGCTATGCTTCAGGTTCTCATTTGCACTTAAAGACATCCTGACTCCTGGGGTTCTTAGTAAGAAGGCAGAGGAGAAATGGTGTCTGTTGCACATGAAATGCTGCTCCTACCTCCAGGATCCAAAAAGCCAGAAGAGCAACACCAGCATCTAAACCAATGTGCAATACAAAGGGAACAACTTGCACTCCTCCCTGGAAGTCTACCTACCTATGCCCCATTCCCAGCACCCTGGCCAAGTGCTCCCACCCACGCCTGAATTCACCCCCCCTCCCTACCCACAGGTGCTGTACACAGAGGTGTAGACACAGACCTTTGCAATACTCCTCCCTCCTCTTCTCTTCTCATCCAGACCTGCAGATCTTTCACCTCTCTCCGTGCCTGCATGCCACACATTTCTTGGCACAGCAGCAGTTCATTTCACAGTGATAGGGTATGCCCTGGAACATGCTGGCCACTACTGCAGCTTTTTCTCATCTGTGAAGTGGCCTTTCATGCAATTGCCGTTCTGATACACAGGGCTGCCCCCCTTCCTTCTGCACCAGACCACAGATTTGTAGAGAATGAATCCAATACCAGCCAGACACAGCAAGAGAAGAGCCAATATGTCCAGGCAGAAGTACTCATACAGGGAAAGGTCATAGACAGCCGGGCGAAGGTAGGGAGCCCCATCATGACGGAGGATGTACTCCAGCCAGTACACTGTCCTGTTGAGAGCGTGCATTGGTCTGTCCAGGTGCAGAGCTGAGATGTGCTGGGCTGCTTTTCTGTAGCTGCAAAGGAAGATGACAAGACGTTTACCTTTTAACAGAAACTTCATACCTGAGAAGCAGCCTGAGACATCCAGTGATGCTTTCAAGTCCAAAATAATACCTTGGGAGAGGGGCAAATTTCTTCCATTCTTCTTCTGAAAGCCACTCTCATAGCACTCACCAACCATGAAGGCACAAGCCAGAGTGTATTTTACTTTGTGTTTTGTTAACAACACTGACAGTTTGGCTTGCAAGTACCTGTTCAGTGAGTTCATGTATATGGTAATTTCTGAGGGGAGTTTGCACCTTAAGACCTCACCCACCATCAAGCAAAAGTTACACACTTGATGAGTAGCCAAACCCTTCCAGGTACCAAATTGCAACACCTCTTAACAGGTAAGAAATGCAAAATGTTTTAAAAATCAAGCTCTCAGAGAGCATTTTAAAAAACAGCAGTTGTACGTGTCCTGTTAAAAAACAGGAGTCCTGTGGCCCTTTTCTGTTCCTGCTTCAGTTCTCATAAAATGCAGAGTATATGATTGACAGAAAAAGCAGATGGAGCATTACCTGCAGTTCCTTCTCTGTTTCTACAGAAAGTTTTTTGGACAAGTTCAGGGAGTCCCAATGGGAGGCAGTGATCTCACTCTCCCTGATGACAGGCTGGTGTTAAGAGAAGAGGTCTGTTCTCCAGTATCTCAGCAAACTTTCTGAGAACATTACAGTCAGTCAAACAGGACTAGACTCCTTGGTAACAAATGCTGGACTATCTCCTCCTGTGCTGCATCTGAGGATTTTGAGGCACTGACACATGGTCATCTGAGCAATGCTTGCAACTGTGCTTTGTACAGAAGCCACCACAGGCAGACACATTGTCCCTATACACTGTCTGCACCGAGGAAGAGTGTGATGCTTCCAGATGCCTCACCTGGGGTCAGAGATGACTGTGATGACAGCCTGGTAAAGTTCCTCTTCTTTTACTCTGCTCCAGTCCATGAGGATACCCATGCCCTTCGCCTGCACTCTGGTCATTATGTCAAACTGGTCCCCATAGAAAGGAAATCCCACCACTGGCACACCGTGATAAATTGCCTCAAATACACCATTCATCCCACAGTGGCTGACAAAAGCTTTCACGTTGGGGTGGCCTGCAGGTGAAGAAATGGTAGCAAGTCAATACCTTCCATGTTGCAACAGGGCTACCAGGGGGGTTCCTCAACACACACTATGTATGTTTAGGGAAAAACAGGCATGCTAAGCAGAAAGGACGCTACCCTTTGGGAATACATCTGGCTTTTGGCAGCCCAAAATTGCTGAGCAGAGCCTGGAGGAGAAGGGAAACAGGAGCCAAGCAGCTTCAAGCAGGTGTTAGGTGAGGATCATGTTTTGTACAGATCGGACACACAAGAAGCAACAGACTTAGATCCACACAGGTGCTGCTATCCTTCTGTGCCTTTGCTGTGGTTTGGGCTAAACTCCAGGGGTGTTGTTAGTGGCACACACATGCACAGAATCCAGCCTTACCTAACAGGTCATTCTGGGGCAGCCACCCCATCATCAGCGTATTCTCACCCAGGTTTCTTGGCTTCTCACCAAAATATCTGTGGGAGGAGACAGAGAAAGGGCAAAAGAAGAGAAACACGCAGAGAACAATAATAAATTCAATCCAATCAAGAGACAGAAAGCAGATTCTGTCATTTGAAATGTATCAACCCTCAACATTGTTTTTCATCCAACTCAAGTGCAAATGAATCCTGTCCCCTTCTCACCTCCACACCACCCTTTGTGGGAGGCGAGCAAATGCACCGGCCATCTTCTCCACCAAATCGCCTGGAAGAGCTCGGATCCCGATGCCAAAGGAGACAACAACGACACCTGCCTCTGCTGCTTCCACCCAGAGACGCAGACCCTGTGGGCAAAACACACACAGCTGCCCTGAAGTATTGCTGCAGAAAGGCCCTTCCCACTCTCGCCTCTGTCAGGAGAAAGCTGTCCACAGAGAAGATGAAGCCAAGTCCACCCGGAGCACAAAGCTGCACTGTTTACACCATGCAATGAACTCTAAAACCGCTGTGATTCTTGCACCCAGCCAGGAAGAAATTACTTGAGCACCTGCTGGTCTTGAGAGTTTGCAGGGAGTTGTCCAAAACCTGCATTTCATAGCATTATCTCCTGCACTGGAAGTAACACAATTACTCTTGACAAGAAGAGTTCTGGAAACAGAGGGGCTACGTAGGAACAGCCAGGGCAGAGAAGGAAATTGGAGTAAAAAGAGGAAGGCTATTTTCCCATTACCACTAAGACAGGAGCTTGTCAGGGTCTCTAAATGTAGGCTGATACAAAACATCACACAGCCAGGACCAACTTCTTCCGGGAGAGTTCCTACAAACACTCCAATGTCAAAGGCTCCTGGAGGTCACAGAAAGTTTTGCCATCTTGACAGGAGACTTCTACCCATCCTTGATAGCTACTTGCAGACAGCAGATTTATTTTTTCATCGCTGGACAGAGAGGTAGCTACAGATCCAGAAAAACCCAGAGTTTTGTCCTTCATTTAGAGGCTACCTGTAATGCTACATAAACAGGTCTGTATCTAGAACACAGTCTATACTTTTTTTAACCAAAGCCAAAAGGTAGAAGGAAGAAAAAAATCACCAACCACAGCTGCTGTGAAGCAAACATGGACTATTCCCTCCTATACCAGGCTGGGCTGAATCGATTGCTAATTATGAATTCTGTCTGTCCTGCTTCAAGTTTCCCATGTATTCAGGAGCATTTTAGGGAAGTTTAATAAAAATCTATCTTTGAATATAGATATTTCCTAAAATAAACTTGTAGGAGAACGTGACTTTTTAAAAAAAACTGTCATTAAAAGAGAAAATTAGAGTGATTAATTCAGAATATTAATTGTAGTCTAAAAGTTAGGGGATCAGAGTACAAAAGTTACAAAGCACGTCTTAGTGTTACTCTCCAGGGATATTTCTCCTTTGTTTTATGTTTCAGAGACTCAAGCCTATCTTTTCAGAAATGCTTAGAGTGCCCTAAAACAATCCAAGAATCAAAGCGTTTACAACAGAGATATTTTGGTTTCTCCATTCTTTTGAGTTTCACATCCTTTGAGCAGTACAACCACTGAAATTGCTGCAGAAGAGAAAGTGCTGGCTTTCCTTTTCTAAATAAAGCACAATGACTCCTAAACCAGATGACTAGGTCATCCATTATAATTGGGCTGTAACATTTAACTTACAGAAACAGCATTGAAGTTGCCAGGGAAGCATGGTTGACCACCAAATGTTCTCACTTTCTCTCAAATACATACCTATATTTAACCAAGTCCTAATTAGAAGCAATCAAAATCATAGTGTTTCAAATAGGAGGAAATAAACATTTAATTACATTTCAGATGGGACATTTTTTAAGGTACACCTAGACCTACAGAGGCTCTCTTCTGCTGGCATCCCATGATGTGGACACGAACATGCCTACCTGCTACCATGACAGCCACCACCTACTGCAGGGCTCCAGACTTATCTCCAGCATTCTTTCCTCAGGTGCCCTGGGAAGCCATGAAGCACATGAGTAATGTCCTAGCAAACAACTCCCTTCTTTATAAGGCAGGTGTGTACGTGGCCAGGTTGGACCAAGCCAGAGTTTTGCAAGAGCTGTGAGGCAGCCACTCTCTGACACAGCTCTCAGAGCACCCTACATGTGTTTCATTACCTGTAGGCTGCGCCACACGGGCAAGGCTCATGTGTGGTCAGAGCTTCTTTTTAAGGCACCTAATCTCTTTTTTTTTAAACTGAAAAATATTGGCATCCACAACATCAGCTAAAGTTGCCATCAGAGATCTTGACAGGCCTCTAATAATTTGAAAGTTGAAATCTTATCTCTATTTCAGACCCTTAGTCAAGACAGCAGGACATCTTGACTGCCCAAGTTCTATTATCCAGGTTTATTTCCAATGTTTGTACAAGTGGTAAGACAAATCCTACTCTGTTCCAATACTGTCTTCAGCCAGAGGCTTTAGGAGCTTGTCCCTCTGGATTTATTACTGGGATTAGTGAGGCATAGGCTGGAGAAAGCCTTGAGAGGAGTTTTCAGGACTGAACCTTGAGAAAAAGGGGACGATGCCCTTCAGTTTTCTACATTTTGGGATTCGGCACTGAATTTAATGAAGGAACACGAATAGCTCTCCCCTGTGGTTTCTTAACACTACAAGCTCAAGGGCAGAAATGCTCTGTAAGAAATAGGGTGAAGGAGGAAATTCTGGATTAACATATCAGTGACGAAACAAGATTAATTGTTCTTTCCATTTCCACTTTAGCATAGGAGCAAACTATTCATTATCAAGACCCTGAGGCAACACTTTAATCATAGGAATTCCACATCATTTTATATCGACAGTGAGGCCAAATCCCACTTCAGAGTGGACCACTTAATTCTACATCCTCCCTGCAGCCTGACAGCCTTCAGTGTTCTCCATCTCACTGATGCACCCACAAGCACCAAAACACAGCAGCTTTCCAGACACTTGGGGCTTCAGAACTTTTATAAGGTTCTTTCAAACAAGATCTGAACTAAGTAGCTTCCCCAGTTGATGTGCAAACATAGATCAAAGCTTTCTTGCACTTACCACTGGAAGGGGCTTTGCAGGCTCAGCAAGGATCCCCCCTGTGAAAATGACATGGGGGAGCGTTGGACGGGGAAAGTCCAACACCACATCATTACAGAGGAAGAAAAGACTAGTTCCATGAACAAGGTCCAACATGGATGTCTTGGGCTCCACTCCATGCTTCTCCATGAGACGTTCAAACTTGGGCAGGATGACCAGTTTTGTAGCCACACGAGTGATTATGTAGACTAGGAGATTCCAAGTCCTACCAAAAAAGCCCATCCTGTCTGTCATCAGGGAGTTGAATTCAGGAACATAGGCAATGGGAGAGCTGGCACCAATCTCTGCTGGGAACCAGAAACCAGTGGAAATCACAGCATATTTGACATGTAGGATGTGGGCCAGGATAAATCCACACATCTCATTGGGGTCCACCAAAAGCAGGTCAAACTGCTCCCACTGGAGTTTCTGCAGAAGGGTAGAATTTCCCAGTACTAGGTCACAGTTTTCCAGGTACTTCTCCAAAAATGAAAACACCTCCAGAGAGGTCATCTTCCCTTGAAAGACACGCTTTATCTTCTCCTGCACCCAGGCATCTGCGCTCTCTGTGCTGAAGGTCCCCCAGTATCGCTGCAGGCGGAAGCCAGGCAGGGAGGTTTCCACATCTCGACCCTCATGGAGCAGCAGCACAGGGTCATGGCCCCGGTCAGTCAGTGCCTCTGCCACCCGCATGAACACTCGCAGGTGGCTGTCAAAGACTATGGTGGGCATGATCAGCACTTTGGCACACTGAGATGGCTCCACAGTGAATGCAGTCACTAGGAAAAGAAGAGCAGCAGAGCACAGTAGCACCTTCATCATCTTCATCACTGCAAGGAGACAAACACACCATTAATGTCCTATCTCTGTCAGGCACTTAGCAACTAACAGCTGTGATTGTAGCTGCAACCCAGGACTCTTGAGCTGGGAAAGGAGAGCAGTCTGGAGTTCTTCACTGGGGAACATCCATCCCTTTCCACTCTGCCTTGCCCTAAAAAAAAAAAACAAACCCACAAAAATACCCCAACAACCAAAGTCAGATATCAAGGGAGTTTTCCAGAAAACCTCTTCTCTGTGCTCCTAAGGCTCAAAAACCAGCAGACTGACTCGCAGGGAGGTACTGAGGGTGAATGGCTGGAAGAGCTATGCTGGGTCACAGCACCAGCAGGGACACTTGCTGTTCGGTCCCTGTTTACCGCTACAGAACCAGATCAGCTGGATTTTACTTTTATTTCTGTCCAGCCAGAACAGCTGGTTCTCTCTGAGCTCTTGATGTCTGTGCAAGCTCACAGGGAGGCCTGCAGAGCTTGGTGGAAATGTCAAGAGGTGTACTCTGGCTATGGCCTTCACATGGCTGGCAAGGCACCTTGCTCAGCACAAACGGGGTGGGAGCAAGTCCAGGTGACAGCAGGACTCACTGAGAGGAACTGCAATCCCAGAGGGCACAGCAGCAGTCTGGACAGAGAGCTAGCTGCTCCAGTATGGATCAGTCATGGGAGGCTCTGGGAAAAGGAAAGCAGGTTCCAGGATACTCATCCACTAGAAGAAGGCAAACCCAGAAAGCAATCCCAGAGATGACATGCAACACCTGTGGCACACTGACGCCCCTTAGTCACACTCCTAAAGCCGTCATCCCCTCTTCAGTGAAACACCCAAGATTTCTGTTGTGCAAGGGATGTTGCTACATCACTGGAAGCGAATGTGCCTCACCCACACCTAGCATTATTTTGGGAGAAGAATTATGTGATAATTATTTGGGAATAGTCAGAAGCACGGTAGTTTTCTGAGAGCCCAGTTCAGACACGCTAGGAAGCAGCAGTGGGAAGAGGAAGAAGATACAATGGGCACAACTAGAAGTGGATTTCGGATGGTGCCCACACACTAAGCCTCTGTGGGGCTGCAAGGATATGGTAGAGTGGAATTTGGTACAAGATTTTCTGACAGCCCCTCCACTAGTGCTTGATCAATTAAGAGGTGGGAAAGAAAATAATGGACAAGATTCTGCTAAATACAATCTTCAGACTACCCTCAGCAGGCCTCTCTCTGGCCAAACTAGGCACATAAGGGTGCAGATAAGGGAGAATAAAACTGCCCTATTCTTCATTGCTTGCTTGTCCCATGTGGGGACAGGACATAGGAAAGAAACAGAGCAACTGCTGGTTGGGACCCTCCTCTGTTTCAAAGGCAATTCCTGCTAGTGCTTGGACTCCCACCCTTCCCACCTAGGCTCAACTGTGTGGCTGTGCGTGCACGATTGATAAGAAACATGAGAAAAGCTAACAGATACCAAGAGGGTAGTTGGACCCACTGAATAAGAGCTCCAGAAGAATGTACACAAATGTGATGGGCTGGAGGGGAGGAAACAAGCTCTGCAAGGAAAGTAAGGATCTGCCCAGTATCCTGCCTCCCTAACAGCAGGAAACAGGCTGTCCTGTGACAAAGTGTTGGTCACAACAGAGCTACAGACCACAAAGCTGGTCTAGTACTCAGATTACTTGAGAGGCCCAAAGGGAACTTATCCTGCCCAATACCAGGGAAGGTAAAGTATTTGGCTATGACACTCACAGCAGATCCAGGAGCACATGCTGTTTCCAGGAAGTGAGGGAAGGATGGCAGTCACGTACTCCTGATCTCCTCTGGGATGACAGGGAGTTAAGGACAGAAACAGGCATAGGCTTGTCCTGGGGCACCTAGTGGGTCATACGTGCACGTAAATGTGCCAAGGAGAGTAGAAGAGGTTTTTTATGTGGGGTAGGGTGTTTTCTCATTGGGCAACAAGTAAAAGATGAAGAAATACTCCAGGTAAAAGGTATAGTTATTTAGAGAAAAAAAATTGTCACCTATCTTCAGCAAGGACTGTGTTCTGCCATGGACCTATGTGCCAGACATTGCTGAGACCCTCAGCTCAGCCAGAACCCTCTGGGGACTGCCAAAATCCAAATGACAAGTAAGCTGTCAATCTCAGCCCTCAGGTCAGGACCAGATGCTGACACAGTGAGACTTGCAAACTGCTCTTGGTGGTTTCATCTCTTCCAAAATCAGGAGCAATCCCTAAAGGTGCTGGCTCAGGAGCCTCTTCTCCCTGCCCAAGCAACAAGGGAGGCTGTAAATCTTGCTAAGAGGTGAGAGGATGCCAAGCTACAGGAAAATACCTTTTTTTCCTATTTCAGCTCAATTCCACCAGAGAATCTCTGTTCTGTCCATGCCCAGAAAGGTGCCCTGGTCATAGCTCCAGCCCTAGAGCTGTGCTGGATACACCAGACACAGCCTTCATTATTATCCCAATAGCACTAAAAATCAGGATAACTACCAGCAAAAAGGGCACAAGGGCTCTCTGTCCCTTGTCCAGCAACTAGTCATTGTTGCAGTCTCAGGTTGATAGCAAAGGGAAGGAAGTCCCAGACCTAGACAAGGGGTAATGGCTCACTTGAGGGAAGGCTCAAAATCCACCTGCTCAGCTCACTGGTTTACATCTTACTAACACTGAACAAAAAAGCTGCTCCATGAGCTCTGCAGCAGGGTCCTCCAGCCCGGGCAGCTCCTGTGGCCAGTGCAGCACAGGCTCAGCCCAGCTACTGCAGGCAGGTAGTTGTCAACTTCAAAGAAGAAGAAGAAACCTTCAAACACCTGGGCATGGGAATGTGATTCTCTGGGAAGGTGAATGCACAGCTTGTGCCTTGTCAGAGATGCAAAATCCAGTAAATGACAAAAAGTAAATGACAGATCCCACACTAGGCCTGAGAGCAGAGTAGACAGAACCATCTCCTTATTTGTGGTCTGGAAGCCCTAGAGGCTATGTCACAAATACTGCCAAAATAACCCTGCCACTGCAAGGCGAGGGCTTTTAAAGAGAGAATAGACTCTTCCCTGTTTTCATGATAAGTGCTACCTGATTTACACAGAGCAATGCCCCAAACGTCACAGTTAATACTGGAAGCCAGAGAAATGGTTCAAGGGAACTGTTGGAAAAGCCCATGCCACAAATGTCACAAATGTTTTAAGTTTCACCGCTTCAGCATTGAGGGCAGAGCAGGCACCTCAGTAAGAACAGGACGTGGGAAAGTGAGACTGTCACTGCAAGCAGCAGCATCTCCCCTACCCTGCACACCTGTCCACCTTCAGCTGCTGGAAGACTGCTTTCAAAACCACAGCAATGCATTGATACTGAAAAGTGAGGCAGCAGAAAGGGAGCAGACAGAGCACAGTTCTCTGAAATACTCCTGAGAAACCTCTCAACTGGGCTGAAATTTGTCCCAAGATTTTGTCCTGTTTAGCATGTTTGACAGGGTATGGCTTTGGTATTGATGGAAAATTACACAAATCAACTTAAGTGAAATAACTGAACAGTTACAGCTCTAATTTAATTCAGGTGCCTTTTATTAGGCTGAAGTACTAAAACCTCTGACAGCAAGCAGTCTAGGCAAAGAACACCACAGAGAAAGGGCTATAAACAGGCTCAAATGCAAGGTCTGCCATTCATATCTCTCCCTCACTTGTTTATATTACCTAGTTCCTGCCCAGGACCTGGAAGTCCATATACCTGGGATTGAATTAGTTCCCCTCCTGCATCCTAGTCTCTATGCAGCTCTTGCCCACAGTAAGAAATGTTTTCACTGCAAACTTCTCAGGAGTTAACAAAGCAGCAAAATTAACTGAAAACTGAAAGCAAAAGATATATTCACCTGGATGCTCTAAACTCTTCCTGGAATAAGATACTGAAATTTGCCTGTTTTGTTGGGTATGATCCAAAAAAACTAGGACCATCTGCTACCATCACGTTGATGACAGCCAGCCTAGCTGCAGCTAATTTATGGAAGCCAAGACTCTGTGAAGGCAGGCAGGTATGCAGCTCCAAGAGCAACTTTGTCACTGCAGGAGGATGTTGCACTACAAGCCGGGGCTGCTCAGGGGAATCCCTATTAAAAACCTAGAGGATACAATACTGTACATAGCAAACAAAGCACAGGTTGAAACAGGGAAGTTTAACCATCAGTTATATCCAGCCCAGTGCTTGGTGGACTTCTGGGCTCTAGTTTTGGTTTATCACAGACTCTGACTTAACCAGAGTCACCTGGGTAAATTACACTAAGATATTAATATTAGCACTATAGAATACTAATCACAGTACACCAATACTAGCATTAGTATTTTAGTACAGAAAACAGTGATAAAGGAAAAAAAAATCCCTTCGTATACAAGCATCCCCTGTCAGTCTACAACCCTGAGGGTTTTCTAAAATACTGTTTGCACACAGACTGAATAGTGCACAGATAGTCTGCTCAAAACAACATACCTTTCTAGCATTTTTCCTTCATATTCATGGCAGCCCACTACAAGCACAGATAACGAAGAAGTCAAGATCCCTAAAGGACCAAAGGGAACAATCACAGCAGTGGTCAAGTCAGCATAAGAATGATTTATACTTTTCACCACATTGGTGCTACTGCTGCCACAAATCACCAGAAGTGCTCTGGCTCATCTGTTTTGGACAAAGACTGATGTAGTCCCCAAACAGTTCCTAAATTTTGGTACTTTGGACCATCTTCAACATCCTTCCTGTCTCATTAGAGTTATATGGAGGAAGTTCTACAGGCAAGGTGGGAATGTGTGGGCTAGCAGGAGGCTGCCAGATGATAGATCACTGCCAGAGAACCATGATACTAAAGGAAATACTGGTCCATAACAGCTGAGAAAAGAAATAAAGATCTGGATCTCAGCTTGCTGCGGTATTTGAAACTACACACATCTTCAGGACCTTGAGCTGGGGGATGGTGTCAGACACCACACATCTGCTTCCTCACCTGGCCTCTCATCATACATCTGTCTGGGCAGTAAGTGAGATTTCCCCCATTCAGTATCCACAGG